TCAAGTTTGTAATGTTTTTGGATCATGTAAAAACATGCTTAACAAGGAATAAGAATAGTTGAATCCCTTCCAACTCAGTCAATCTATTAAATACATTATTTCTGAGTTTATGGAATATTATTAGAAATAATAAAACACTGGATTTTGAATTAGAATTAATCAAACTTGGTTTTTTTAATCTTCAAAGATGAGGTGCGTACAGGTACTTACAGACAGTTATTTCATCCTGAGCAACTCATTACTGGAAAAGAAGATGCTGCTAACAATTATGCTAGAGGCCATTATACCATAGGAAAAGAGATTGTTGATTTAGTGCTGGATCGCATTCGAAAATTGGTGAGTCATAAGATGTGAATAAGAAAATGCAAATAAAAATGTGAAATTTGAAAATTTACCATTTTAAAGTCAGGTCCATAGAAATTCCGGTGTTTTATTTTCAAAAGTACTATGTTTAAAAAATACTTGATCTTTATAAGTAAGAAATGCATATTAGAACTACACTATATTAATTTTTTACATTTTATTAATTTTAATTGAAGAGTATTAATGCAAATATTTTAATTGAATACAGTAGCAAATATTAAATTTATACTGTTGGAATTAAGTATTCTGTTTAATGACCTCACTTTTTGTTGTGTTTTTTTGGGGGGGTTGTCTTTTTTGTAGGCTGATCTGTGTACTGGTCTACAGGGTTTCCTTATTTTCCATAGTTTTGGTGGAGGTACTGGCTCTGGATTTGCATCTTTGCTAATGGAAAGACTCTCAGTCGACTATGGGAAAAAATCCAAACTGGAATTTGCAATATACCCAGCTCCACAAGTATCTACTGCTGTGGTGGAGCCTTACAATTCTATCCTTACTACACATACCACATTGGAACATTCTGACTGTGCATTCATGGTGGATAATGAAGCTATTTATGATATATGTCGACGTAATCTTGACATTGAGCGTCCTACTTACACCAACCTCAATCGTCTCATTGGTCAAATTGTGTCTTCTATCACAGCTTCACTACGTTTTGATGGTGCTCTGAATGTAGATTTGACAGAATTTCAAACAAATCTTGTTCCTTACCCACGAATCCATTTCCCTTTGGCAACGTATGCTCCTGTCATTTCAGCTGAAAAGGCATATCATGAGCAGTTGTCTGTGGCTGAAATTACTAATGCTTGTTTTGAGCCGGCTAATCAGATGGTAAAATGTGATCCTCGCCATGGTAAATATATGGCATGTTGCATGCTGTACAGAGGTGATGTAGTGCCAAAAGATGTCAATGCCGCTATTGCAACAATCAAGACAAAACGTACTATTCAGTTTGTGGATTGGTGTCCAACTGGATTCAAGGTACCATATTGTCGAATATAAACAAACATGGGATATAATCTTGGTGAACTCCAATGATTTGGGTTTCCTAATATTAAAAAGTAATCAGGATAAAAACATAATATAATATATGAGTAAGATTGCATTTATCAGGTTATTGTTTCCGTACGAAGGGATTTTATTGCAGACATGTGAATTCAGCAATAATCTTTTTCTTGCCCAGATCAGATGGTGGATGCTCCCGAATCTGAAAATGTTGATCAGCATTTATTTTATTGATTGTGGTGCTAAGTGTAGAACTTCCTATGAAACTTGAGAAGACTTTTTAAATTCTTTTATGATTTTTAAAATAATTAGAGATGGCAAACATACTGAATAGTCCTTCCTCCTATTTTCTGTACAATAATCCTTTGAGATGGATTGGGCTGTGAGAGAGACTAACCCAAAGTCACACAGCTGGCTTTCAATCGTCATTACATGAACAGTCATTTTATTATGAGATAGGTGGCAAATAAATTCAGTAAATAAATGATGCACACCAAATTGCATTTTCCCCCAGTTATTAGTTTCTGGTACAATCATACTTAAGATAAATAAATAATCTATTCTAAATGAAAGGTAGTGTGCTTATTAGAGCTTTAGTATATTTAAGGGAATTAAACCTTAATTCCATTTATTAATGTATCTGTCATGACAAAAGTGAGGCAAATTGCATAGATTAGGGCTTTTATTTATTTATAAGGTATATCTTTCTCCATCTCCCTTTCTGATTCAAAGATACAGTTTCATGTCTACTTTTTTGTTTCCCACTATGCTTAAAATGCTCAGGGAGAAGGGAAGGCAGGGAGAGAAGAAGTTCAGATTTGAAAATCCCTTGCAGTATTGAAATGTAATGAATGTTTTTGCCTTCCTTTAGGTGGGCATCAATTATCAGCCACCCACTGTGGTACCAGGAGGAGATTTGGCCAAGGTGCAACGTGCTGTATGTATGCTGAGTAACACTACTGCTATTGCAGAAGCTTGGGCTCGCCTTGATCATAAATTTGATTTAATGTATGCTAAGAGAGCCTTTGTGCATTGGTATGTAGGGGAAGGAATGGAAGAAGGGGAATTTTCTGAAGCCCGAGAGGATCTGGCTGCCCTTGAAAAGGATTATGAAGAAGTTGGTGTTGATTCTGTGGAAGCTGAAGCTGAAGAAGGAGAAGAATATTAAGCTATGTCAGATGACATATATTTCAATATTTTGTACTTCAAGTTCACTTGTTCAGTTCCAAATAAACATTTAAGTGTTCTAACAAGTTTAATAGCTATTTAAAATAGCTTTAAAACCATCCCTTGAAACAGTCTTTATATACTTTGAGCAAAGCATAAAAGTTTTCTGTAAAACTGTCTCAGAAACATTCATCCATTCTTTAGTTCTTCCTTTCATTACAGGATCTTTTAAAAATTTATAAAGTATTCTGAAATAGTCGTTAAAGTGTTATTGCATCTTAGAACATGTGTACATAATAAAAATGATATTGAGGATGTCATTGATTGTGTATATGGAATGTTAATTAAAGTAATGTGAATAAGAAAATCTTGTTGCAATCTTATCAGTGGATTTGGTCTACTCTGGTTTCATCTTCACTTTTATCCATTGAATTTTCAGAACTGGCTGGAAATAAAATAGTTTGGCAGATTATAAAATATAGTATTGCAGTTTTACTGATCTTTAGTATGTGGAAATGAAATGGATGAATATTTTACATAATAAACTAAGCATATTGATCCTAAGACATTAGCACAAACTTGATTTATATTAAAAGAAACATTTTGGTTCTTACATTCTGCTAGCTGATGATGTCTTAACAGCTTTTAAAGGTTTAGGTGCAGCAGTAACAAATTTTATGATAAACTCGGATTTATCAGATTTCAAGCTTTTCTATCACTTGCTAATTAAAGGCCTGAAGTGATACAATCTACTTAATGGAATTATGAAAAAGATAGGTGGGCCTGATCAGTTGCATGGTAAAGTTAAGTAATGTGCATGTGTTAATTATCGTAAATTACAGATAACATAACGACCTACATATATTTATTGAGAAGTCCTATTCAGTTCATTGGCCTTTATTTTCAAATCAAGGAATTTTATTTCTGCCCTATTCCCTCAGATATGCAAACACAAAATCCTTGATTGCATTATCTTGTCAGGCCATGTTCAGTTGTACACTTAAATTATTTTTGAAAAATCAGATCTTGTACTGCTTTCATTTGGGGTGATGGTTAGGAATAGAAAGTCAACCTTTTAAGTATACTAAAGCAACAAAAGGCTCAGGAAGACTAGAACTGAACTTATTGAAGTATGCTATATTAATAGATTCTTGCTAGTCTAATTGTGTTCTCCCTACTACCCCAAATAACCAAATGAATCGGGGAGGATCAGTTCATAATGCCATCACCTTTCCAAGACTAAAGTAATGTTTCTTTTATGTTTTCTAAATAATTGCTTCAATGCCATTTCCCTGGCTCTACAGTGAGGCCTTTGTCAAGCAAATATATTTCTGGAATATTGCCACATAAAAGCTATCAGTGATAGCATTCATCTTTTTAATCAATGCATTTTTATACATTTAGGGTTTGGTAGACTAGCTTTAAACTATTAGAAGCTGGAGGTCCTGAAGAATTAAATAGCTGGTTTAATTACATTTGTACTCAACAAATTGTCATTGGTTCCTCATTAAACTGGAAACTTAAATAGAATACCATACAGGTCAGTCCTGTTTTTATACTCCAATAAGTGCAGAGACAGATGCTTATCAAATTTGTAGATGAAATTAAATTGGGTGTAATAGTAGAGTTTTCACATTTTTTTAGGATTTTTTCTAATTCCCTGGAATCCCTGATCAACAGGCAAAGCTTAAGTGACTGAAAATAGGTTATATTTGACAACCCTTTCCCCCTTTAGTCTCGGCATCCATATACATCCATACACACACACACACACATATATATTCTTAATGAGATTATTTTTAAAACCCTGATCACAACTGTTTTTCTAAGTAACATGACTGCTCATTCCACAATGTTGGTCTGCAAGGATTGTCATGACAAGTTGGTTTTGTATTTCTTTCAATAGCATAGCTATATTAGCTGTGTCATTTGGAAAATGATACCTGTAAATTACATATGTATTAATGTGCTTTTCCTATTAAGCACAGTACTTTTTTATGTTTAACTGTACCTTTTTTCATGGCCTCAAATTCAATGCTTTATATGGCAATAGCTGAATATTCAAACAAGAAAAGCTAGAAAAGAATGAAACAATGAAAAACACCTTAATTACCACAATTATGTGCCCTGAAGTCTGTAATCTCTTACCCAACAAATAAACTCCCAAAATGATCTGAGCCAATCTGACCCTTTACATTTTTTAACTATGCACCCATTATTGCTGTGATTGAATCCATCCACTTTACTGTTAGTCATTCTTTTCCTCTTTCCTTTTGCAGGGTTATAAACTTCTCAAGAGGACTAGGTCTTTAGTACATTCAAAAATATAATCTCAGGCTGATAACAAGCACACATAAATAGGAAAAATTGAAAAACATTCAAACATTTGTTTCCATATAAACTTCAAAATAAATTACTCCAGACAAACACAGAATAATTTAATAAAATATTTTATCATTTTTTTTTGTAGGTAAAATATATAAAGCATTAAATGTTTTCTTTCATCCCAGAGCAGCTTTTCCCAGCCAGATGTCCATCCTTCAAAAGTATGACACTTCAATTTGAAAAGCTCCCAAGCAAGCTGGGGATGGCTATCCCAGAGTAGTGATGTTTTGACTCTTAAAATCTACCTCAATTTAAAAATAATAATAATACAGCATTATCATGATTTGGGTTTTCCACAATTTAACAAGATTAATGAACAAAGAAAATTAATTTGAGATCAAATTAGTAGAAAATAGTATCAAAGCAAGGTTTAAAAATTAAGTTGGAAAAATATTTTATTAATGCTATGCTCTTGCATATATTTTCTATACTCAGCGGATGTCTTTACAAAGAAGTAGCTCATACAATATTGTCTGAAAAAAGCCAAAAGACAAACAATCTGTCAACTTTTTCTATTCCAGCTTTTCTTGTGGTTTTTTCCTTTATCTTCCAGTTCCCAACTTTAGACTTATAGGACAATGTACTATGAAAAGGCTTTATTATATTATGTTTTATTATCAGTCTATGAAAAATTAATGAGGATTAATATATAAAGCATTGGCCCAATATCAAACACCAATGATGTAACAATTTAGTAATAGATGATGGTAGGCATTTTTTTTTCTTAGAATTTTTTTTACAAAAAGAAGCAAAATCCAGGATACAAAAAATCTGAGTGGCAGCTCTCACAATGGCTGGCAAATTGCTGTGTCAATCACAAAAGTATTTGCAAAATGGCGGATGTGATGACACTTCTCAGTAGCTCGTTGATGGATATCTGGAAAAAGGAATCAGAAAAGAAAGTCAAATTAAGTAGGTGTTACTTGGATCCTTAGACCATAGGGGAAAAAAAAAGAAATGCAACCATTTGATTTCTAAATTAAGTATGCAGAAATAAGAGCACAAAAACAACACAAATCATAGAGACACAAACATTACTGGCATTGTCACAAACCCAACTCTCAAAAGCTGTTTTCTCACTTTAAGTGATTTATGTAAAATAAAATGTTCTGATCCAAATATACTATCAAAATATAACAATTTGTTACAGAAACAGCATCTAGACAAACTTACGCAAATGTATGGATATCTTTTTTTTCTTTTTACACTGAATTTTAAATTGTCGGCGAAGAACATAAATTTCTCTTTCCTTAATCTATGAACATTTGCAATTTATAGCTGGCTATTTATTTAAACAATGGCTATTTATTTAAACAATGTAGGCAGTTGCCCATCTCACTGAGGTAACTAGATGGTGCATACAACAAAATAACACTATAATTTACCAAGTGCATGGAGTTGGGTGTGGGGAATATACTATCACTGAATAAACAGCCAGTACAGTTAGAAGCTCATTTAGATGGCGTGGTTTGTATTGGGCCAACGAGCTCATCAGGTCATTGAATGAATATATTCCATAGAGTGCTTGAAAGGGAGATTTTCTTCTAATTTCTAAAAGGAAACATTGCTTTCAAGATGGTATATCTTGGATTGGCTTCAACCCTGGGATGGCTATTAGATGGAGGTTCAACTATGCGGGTAGATACTCAGCAAGTTTTAAATAAGGTACCTTCAAGTCAGGGCAAGGAAGTTATGTGGATGAGCCCATTATTATATACATACACACACACACACACACACACACACACACGAGAAATTAATATATATGCAAGGACATTAATTTCGAGTTAGATACTATTTTAAAAATAGCTTCACTCTATCAGTATATTTCTTCTTTTGCCAATATAACATGTTGAATTGAAAAATAACTGCTGTAAATTTACAGTCCATTTAAGAAGCACAATATAAACTTCAGCAAAAGAAATAAAATGATGTTCCCTTACGTCCTCTTGCTATCCTATGGCCCAATCTGAAGGTTTCCTTCCCTTGGCAGAGTTTATGAATATAGGAGCCAAACAGAACTGGGTCAATGGCAGGTTCTGTCACCATCCTCTCTTCCTGGATCATGTTGGTTTGTGGCAAATATTCCCCTTTCTGCAAAGAATTTATAATTCACTGAGAAATTGCTTGTTTTAATATCTGGAAAGAAACATCTCTTCAACAAGTCCAAAACTATTATTTTCACTGTTCAGGAATTTTTGATCCATGCTTCAGAATATTACTTCAAGCAACAATAAATCATTTTTCTCATCTTAATCTATACATTGAAGTAACAATGGGATTAGGGCTACAAAATGATCATTATTTTGTATTTGTATTCTGATGATAATTCATCAATGCTGTATAAGAATTTCTCAATTCTTAACATTGATTCAAAAGTCAAAACCAAAATACCACACATACTGGGAATCCTACTTTCTTTTAAGTCAAATATCAGGGTTCCATAAACCTACTACAGCTTTTCAAAGTTGCTTACTATTATTGGAACCACAAGGAAAAGCATCAATTCCAAGGGAGGGTGCAATGGACGTAAAATATAGCTTTAATCAAATATAGAATAAAAAGGATTATTTACTGACCTTTATATTAAGTGTCAGCTCCCAGAAATGGTTAAGTGGCATGATAATAGTAGTATTTAGCTCTCCAATGTAGCATTTATTTACTACCCAATCATAATAAGCTGTGAATCCCTGAAATCACACCAAATAAAATCAGGATAAAAACAGGTTAATGTGCTCAAAACAGATTCAAGAACTCTCATAGAACAATCTGGGATGCTTAAAGCTAGTATGTGGTAAAAGTGACAGTGTTTGAATTGGACTGGAAATAGTATGTTTCACGTCCCCACTCAATCTCAGTGCTCACTGGATGATATATTGTCTCAGCCCAAATTAAGGTATCGGGAGTAGAAACCCAGAGACCACAAGTTCTAGTTCCGCCTTAGGCTCAAAGCTAGCTGGGTGACCTTGGTCCAGTTAGTCTTTTTCAGCCTTAGGAAGCAATGGCAAACCACTTCCAAAAAAATTCTGCTAAGAAGAAACTTGTAAGGACTAGTCTAGGAAGTTACCAATTGTCAATGCTGATATGAAGGTACCTACGCATTGCCCAACCTCACAAGTTTATTGTTGCAAAGATTGTATTAGGAGACAAACCAAGGAGAGACTCAGAGAATAGGCTAATAGAATCATATGATTTAACCTTTTATATCTTTCTCATAGGAAGCTGCTTTCCAGTTCCAGGAAACTGCCAGAACAAAATAGGAACACAAACCCCCCACAAAAGGACACACACTAAAAGGAGAAACCATTAGGTTTGACATGCCTTATTCATTGAGCATTCCTGTTCTGACCAGCTGGTTTGAAAGATTCCACTAATGAGGGATGCCATGGTTATTATCAGTAAATATATGCCCAGATTAAAACCAAACTACCTCCCAATGAAAGCAGGATCTGGGTCATTTTGTTTGTTTCTGCATGTCTTATAAAACTAAGATTTTCAAAGGAAAATAAGTTTGATATCACAGCATTCCAACCCATTGTAAGCCTAGCTCATCGGGTTCCTTAAAATGCTAGGCTCTCCAACATGAATATTTAGTATTATTACTGAAGTGCTGAGACAAACAAGAGTTTTGTTAAGGTGGCAGAGTTAGGCCGCCATTTGATAATTAAATTTCAGATATAAACAGGACCTGTGACAGTATTTGCTACCTCAGAAAGGCAATGTGACTCACTGATGGCCACTGTGAATGACCAGACTATCAAATCAAAAGGGCCATGTACTATGTGGTTTAGACTAGAGTATGGATGTCCAACTGAATTATGCAGAGTCTTGGGCCACATATAAAATACATAATGTAGGGAAAATGAATAAATTACATAATAATGTTAAAAGTTTATTATGGTCTTGCGAGGTTGCATTACTTGCTGTCCAGGGCTGTATGTGGCCTTTGGGCCATGGGTTGGAAGCATCTGGTTTAGAAAGTTAGATGTCAGATGGTGACATACATTCAGTTCCCACTCAACAATAAAATCTCTGGCTGGTTTTGTCCAGTTCCCAAAGTATATCTGAAATTTGTTATGAAAATATATTGAAATATGTAATACTAGCTTGATACCCATGCTTTGCTACAAAACTATGTGGTTGTGCGTAGTTTTTGGGGAGGAAAATAAGGGGGGGGATTCTGCCTCTGCCTACCAGCATCCATCGGTATTTGTCTGGCTAGCGTGCTGTCAGTATGTGTGAGTTTAAAGGCTGTTTGGAAACTGAAACAGTATTTGCTGTGTGAGCAAGGAGGAGACAGCAAGGAGCCTGAGCGTGGCTTAGCTCAACAGTTCCATCCTAAAGCTGATTGCTGCTGTGAAACTAAAACTGAAACTCCTCTCCTATACTTGTGTTTTGTATTTGGAACAGATTTCTTTTCAGGTAGGAAGGGGCAGTAGAACTCCTTAGCATCAGAGCGTATTACTAACAATATAGGAAATACTAATGTTTTTATGGTCATTTTGAAAAATCCTTTCTTAGTGAGCACCTAGAAGCCAAGAAGAACATATGTGCCAAATGTCAAGTTTGTAGGCTTTAAGGGTTCTGGAGATTTTGTGATGATATATGAGTGGTATTTCAATTTTATATATCCTGGAAAATGTGTTCAAGGAAATAACTTTCAAAGAAGTATTTTCTATACCTTTCTTTTTTTCTATCTTAGACATTTCTTTCAAAGTATGTTCAGCCTAATTTCTTACCTGTTGAAAATCATGGATAATATCTGCAGGATGCCCAACATTGGCTCTTGGGATGCTGATCTCCTCATAATCCTCTCCAAGGAAAATCTTCACATCCTCATACACTGTCCTGATTTCAGATGAATCATCGAATTCAAAGTAGTCACATTCCAAACCTCCTTCCTCATAATTGTAATATTCTGTCCTTTGCTACAATAGTTTAATAAAAAGTTCTCAAGCATAATTGGCTGTGTTATTACCTCATTTTTAAACTTTTTAAATATAAAAATTGAGTTTGCATTGCAGAATATGCCACAGACTTAAAACTGAGTGATAGTTCTTTCCCACTGACAACAATTCAGTGCAAGAGATTTGTACCCAAGTGTTGACCTTATATATACCCTCTGTCCTGTTTTTGTCTATTATTCTCTGCATCTATGAAATTGCTAATCTGAAATCACTTCTTTGTGTCTTTCTACGCAGGTTCCTACTTCTGAATATACCACCTGGTGGGATGCAGTTAGCTAGGTACAAGGCTTTGCCTAGCTCTATAATGTATTTCCTCCAAATGAATCTCCTTTTATTGGAGCAAGTTGCAGAACCTGCTCCAGTAAACTTCCAGAGGAGAATCCATCATTTCTAAGCTTTAAAAAAAAATGGTACAATGAGGCACAGAAAACTTTAACTCATTGCTGGATGCACATATATTTGCAGTCCAAGTCTGGTAACTCTAATACATGTGAGTGGAGTTTTGGTCACAAAAAAAGCAGTCCTAATTCTTTTCCTACCAGTTTTTTTTTCCTGTTTGCTAAAAACAGTTTTTTCTATATTTTATTCAGTATTCAATTTAGTCTTTTCATTAAGGCATCAGAATAGAAACCAGGAAACTGAGTTCTAATCGTGCCTTAGGCATGGAAAACAGCTGACAACCTTAGACCAGTCACTCTCTCAGTCCAACCTTCCTCACAAGGTTGTTGTTGTGGGGAAAACAGGAGGAGGAAGTGTATTGGATATGTTTGCCACCTTCAGTTATTTATACAAATAATAAAGGCAGAATAAAAACAAAATATTCCATATATAATTCTTGTAAACATGATTGCAAATAACAACTTGCAATTGACTGTAATTATCTAGAGACATATCCCTTCTCAATGAAGCAGCTTCCTAAAGCAGCTTTTCTGCAGTTTTTCCAAAATGCTGATGGGATTTGTTGCATTTGTACATATCATGCGGATTACCAATGCCTCATCTGATATTCTGTATACCATATTTACTCAAATGAAGCATCTTCCTCTTGCCCTGGTCAATTATATTTTTTAAATGAAGGGATCATCTTGGATCCAAATATAGTAACATTGAATGTTTGTTTTTATTGCTAGATTCAAGCATATTTTCCCATTGAGGAAGATGAGCAGGAAATAGACAAGATAGGGAAGGCACGTGTTGCTGCCTTCTTATTAAATAAAATTAAGTGGCTGAGTGGGGTGAAGTAGAGAAGCAGTATTACACCTTCATGTATGTCAAAAAAAGGCAGTAAACAGAATGTGAAAAGCAAGTTGGTATGGACAGGAATTACATGTTCTACAGGTACAAGGAGCAGTTACCATGGAAAGTTTGTTCATAATGATACTATAGAAAGAGGAAATCCTCAAGCAAGGATGAACCTTCAGGAAAGGTAATGGGAAAAAGCTGAAACTATCAACACAAGTCTCTACTTACTAAAGCCCTATGGAAATTATTCAGTGGATATACAGTAAAAAGGCTTTCTCATTGTAAACCACAAACGTCCATTCACAGAAAGAAAATAGAAAACCAATTTTGCAAATATTAAAGGGCATAAATTCTTGACCAGTTATGGCTGATGAATATAAATTATAGTTTAATAGTAGCATATTATCTACTATCACTAAAGAAAAGAATGTCATTTTAGTAATGTTCCTCTTCTGGCTATACTGGGAATTATATGCTTTATGTCTTTATTATATGCTTTATATCTTTCATATATGAGGCATGATCTATCAAATATTGGGTTAGAAAATATAAAGGGAGGGCTTACGCTGAAATTACTTTGGCTATCTGAAATGGGAAGCTCAGTTGTCTCAAATTGCTGTGTAGCTCAAGCAGATCAGTAGAGCAACTACTTCACAAGCTTTAAAGTGGAAATGTTAATCCTCTGATTGTGTAGATGGTTTGAACAAAATCATACATACCATATCCATGCCCATTTGAGCAACTGACTGAGTAAGAGATAAATATTTGTAGATGTAGGTTGATGTTAAAATCAAGCCAAGCAGTAACAACAAAAATCCCAAGGCCAAAAAGAAGATGCAAGTAAGAGGTCTCCAACTCTGCTGTGGCAAAGATAAGGGCTGCTTCTCCTGTTTAAAGAAAAGGGACAGGTTCACTCATTAATGGACAGCACAGTAAATGCAGAATATCCTCACCAGGATGGTTCTATGCCAAGCTTCCTTTTTTCATGTTGTGTACATCTGTTTTCTTTTACAACAGGCTTCCTAAGAAGGAAAAATAATATCTTTAAAAAGGTAATAAAAGATAGAAATATGCTTGACTCAACAGGACTTGCTGATCACTTTCTCCTTGGAAAGTAGAAGAAATACAACAGGATCAGCTAATTAATATTGAATTTTTAATACTAAGAAATAATTACATCAAGGAACCAAAAGTAACTAATATTGGGGAAAGTCATAATTTAATACTTGAATTCTTTGTTTAAAGGCAAACTAAGGTACAGTCAGGCATGAATCTTGAACTAAGAAATCAGTTTTTAATAAACTCATAGCATTGACAAGTAGGAAGGAGAAACTAATGTAAGAAGAAAAAGGAGCTCCATTTCTAGCAGACTTAAGTTGCAGGAAAATATGGACTAAATGTTAAGGAAAGCTTCCTAAGAGTAAGACTAGTTTGACAGCAGAACTAATTACTAGAGGAATCCTTATTAGATGTATTATGGTGGTGATATTTCATTTCAATTTCTGGAAGAGGTTGGGGGGAATGGCTTAACTAGCATAATCTAACAGATTCCTTTATTCTACTGATGTGGCATGTTTACAAATGTACATGAAACTTTCCTAAGTAACCTAAACGAACAACAATCAACTGCCATTTCACATTCTGGTTCCTTAAATCATCTCTTCTAATTTAACTTTGCATATTGCCTCAGACACATTTGTGCAAGGGTGTGAAGAATATAAATTTAAAATAAACAAATGATATCACTGTGTGTTCCAATGTCCATGAGATCAGCCTACTCAATGATAATACCAATTCAACATTGTAACAGCAAGCTACAGCCAAGGAATACAAAGAAGGGTGTCTGTAAATAGCTAATCTCCCATCAATACTAACTAAAGTAGGCACAGTTTATGTATCATATATTTATATTTGTAAGTCTATATTTTAATGTGTGTATGTATATATGTATGTGTGTGTGTCCATGTGTGTGTGTGTGTGTGTGTGTATACACTCATACACACACACACACACACGTATTGCAATATAAGGAGAAAAAAATCATAAATTTCAGATGAAATTACTTCTCGTTTCTGACTCCATCTTTTTCAGAAGTTTCTTTAATCAATACTGCCTACCACTTGTTTTCTCTAGGCACAGAGGCACATTTCAAACAAAGCTACTTATAGACTGTATGCTTCTAGAACAGGGTTGTCAAACACGGGTCGTAACTGTGGCATCCTTGTGGCACCTGCTAATGCAACCACAATTCATAGCACAAGGCAACCACCAGGCTTGAAAAAAAGCCATCAACATGGTCACATGCAAACTACAGAAGATGGAAACATTACCTCTGCTGTTTTAGATCACAGATCACAAGAACTAAAAATATTCTTAACTTCATTTCAGCTTAGAGAAATGTTCTGCAACTATTGCAATTTGTGGAAGACAAAAATAGGTCCCCAACATGGTAACAGTAGAGATATTATACAACAACATAAACAACAAAGAATGAAGTCAAGTTCCGATCATTTAAAAAAAAAAAAAAAAGAACACAGGAGCAGCAAAACAATCCCTCAGAAGGCCTGATAGGGAATGTCCCCATAGTAACAAAGAGGCTTGTTTTCCCAGAAATTTTTGGCCTTTTTCCCTTGGTTTTATAACTGGAGATATTCAAGCCTCTAAGAAGAAGACTAGCCATTCATCCATGTCAAAGAAACAGAAATAATCTGAAACATGTATCATTCAAATCCTAGAATAAGAATAGAGCCAATCCTAGAGTAGGACTAGAGAATCTAGTCAGAGGTTCATAGCATCACTCAAGGTAAGGATATGACTTTCCCCAGAAGGATCTCATCTACCAGGTGAAATAACTAAGAACTACCTTCTCTAACCGGTACCTTCTGAAATGCTATGGACTGCAACTCACATGAACTCAGGCAACATGATACTGTACAGGAATTGGAGTCACAAACATACAGAATAAAAGAGTGTTTGGAGGGAAAACTGGACAAGAACAGAGGGGAGGAGAAGCTCATCTGACTTATCATTTAAATGAAATGTAACAGCTTTTAAGTATCAAACAATCCATATCTTACAATCTTGGCACTGAGACACCAGGCTCTGATCATCAGCCTTTAAAATAATTTCACATGTATACCGTACATTCAGAAGTACAACAGGGGGTAGATGTTTGGAAAATAGGTATTTAATTAACACCTTTCAAGCAAATGTTGCTTGTGCTATCAAAGTTTAAAGATTCTTTAGGGCTGGGAAACAGTTGCCTAAATCCAGAGCGTTGCAACTGACTATATATGGGCCCTGGTTGCCAATTGCGGCACCGCAGACATAACTTGCAGAGAGAGGATGTAGAGTGGAACCTTGTCTAACCTGATGTACATTGACTTCATAAGCTCCCCTGATACCCAGCCAGCAGCACGTTTTCTACTCTGCTGGCAGGAAGAGATGGAAACAGTTCAGCACATGTGGTGCCAGAGTCGAAGGTAGAGGATTTTTGGTTTGGTTTGGTTTGGTTTGCTTCATTATTAGCTGAAACCAACAGCAGGCACCTCTGGTTTTCTGTCATCCCTGTGGAAAGTGGGGGGGGGGGATGCTCACTGTCCAGTCGTCCTAGCCAGAGACAAGCCGTACAACAGTAGCGCTTTTAAAGAGACTCCACTCCTTCCCTCTATGAAGGGAACTTCTGTTCTCTCCCCGGGCCCGAATCGTTTAGGATGAATGCGCTTTTCTTCACTGCCAGCGGCCGCGGGACCTATTTCGATCTTACCTGATTTACTCAAATACCGTAAAGCCATATTGCGCGATGCAGCAGCTCCATCTTCGGAAAGTACCAAATCGTCCAGAATCGCCTCTATGTTTAACGCGACTTCACTAAGTGTGTTTCCCACAAGGTTTTTTTTTAGGTGTTTTTTTTTTTAAACCACCACAATATCGTCGACTCCTGAGAGCGTTCATTTATTCATCATCAGTAACTGAAATGCAACCCCGATCTGAAAACGCCACCGCGCCAGTGGTCTCCTACGTACTTACCGCATCCTGAGAGAGGACGAGGCCTTTTGCTGGAGCCCCGTGGCGCGTTGCAAGTGGTGTCTCTTTCTTCGGCTTGAGCTCAGCTGTAACCGGCTGGAAACCGATTTTCACCATGGTTCGACTGCAACTGCCCAGGCGAGCCCAACCAGCTGTTTCGTGCAACCCGCGCAAGTGTCTCCCGCGAAGATCGGGGCTTTTGAGATCCCGCCTCAGCGAAGAGAAGCGACGGCAGGCAGCTCCGTTTCTCCTCCGGTTTTCATTGGCGAAGGCGAGCGCTCTCTTTGCAGAAGCCCAGCCTTTGATTGAAAGTGGGCTGTTGGTGGGAGGCTCACTTCGCACGTGCTGAAAAACTCCGAGCTTTCTACGCGTGCGTCACAAAAGCCCTCCTTAATTCTACCCGGAATGAGTCTGTAGAGCAGAAATTTAAGACTTGTGGACTTCAACTCTCAGAATTCTCCAGCCAGAGAATTCCGGGAGTTGAAGTCCACAAGTCTTAAAGTTGCCAAGTTTGGGGACCCTGCTGTAGAGATTCTCAGTCATCCAGGTCATGATTATCCCAAAGGTGCTTTATTCAGGAGGCAACTGGACTTTCTTGTTGTTATTGTTTTGAAGACATTTCGCTTCTCATGAAGAAGCTTCATCAGCTCTGACAGGATAATGGGGAATTGAAGGATTTATATTCCTTCCAGACAGCTGGTCATTTGCATCCTTTTAGAGGGTAGTTGAAGCACTTGGGGGGTTATCTGTGTCCTCAGGGTCACTTGAGTATCCTGTCAGAACTGAAGCAGCTTTTCGGATGAGAAGCAAAAGGTCTTCAAAAGAAAAAACAAGAAAGTGCAAGAAGCTCCTTGTCTACCTGGAATGTCTGAACACAGGGCAGAATCTTTGAGGATGAAAACAGATTGAAATCCGGTGATACACCCAGAAAGGGGTTAATAAAATCCAGTAAAATCTCTTTCTGAATAAAAGCCAGCTATCTAGAATGTCAGTCTAATTGACACACAGTAGGAATTCCAGAGCATGAAAAGGCCAACCTGTTGTTGTTTTTACTGAAACACTACATTTTTTGCTGCTTGCCTACTCACCAGTCATCCATGTATTGCTAAACTGCTATTATTACTATTTACTAGCTTAATGAAGGGGAGATTGGACTTGGCGCTAGCTATTTATTTTATTTATTTACTTATCAATTTCATATGTTGCTCATCTTGCAGTTCAGAGACACTGAGCAGCTTACAACATAATAAATGTACGGATGTAAAAAACAATTATAAATGAAAATAGGTTAAAATTACAAAAGATTAAAAGAAACTTTAAAAAAAAATCAAGAGTGTAGAGTTGAAAGATGGCAGCGATTTCTCTATTATTATATATTACCCACCTCCAACAGCTTCTTCAGGGCCCCATACCAACCACCATAGCCACATTTTAAGGTATTTAAATGAAGGCCAGAAAGATGGGGGCTGGCCCTCACTTCCGGTGGCAAGATGTTCCAAAAGGAGTGGCATGACAGAAAAGATTATTCACCAGGACCCCACAGCTGCAATTTCTTGATTTATGGGGTCCGCAGTAACGGACCATTAGTGGGTGTTAGTTTGCCATTAGTGGGTGGGCCAATCCCATTTAGGCGACAACTCCTCAGATATCCTAGACTTATGCCATAAAAGGCTTTAAAGGTAATGACCAATATATTGAATTGCACCCAGAACCAAAGCTGCAGCCAGTGCAGTTCACATAACAGTGGTGTTACATGTGCCACCATAGGAACTCCCAAGTGTCCATGCTGCTGCATTCTGAATTGCAGCTTCCAAATGCTCTTCATGGGTAACCCCATGTAGCATAGGTTGCAATAATCCAAATGGGACAGGACCAGGGTATGGGTAATTGAGCTCAGAGCTTCCATGATCCAGAAAAGGCTGCAACTGGTGCACAACCCGAAATTATGCAAAGGGTCTCCTAACCACAACTGCCAGCTGCGCTTCAAGCAGGAGCCGCAAGTCTAGGCAAACCCCCAAGTTGCAAACTGGGACTGTCTGGGGTACTGTCACCCCGTGCAGAATTAAAGATGGTAAAGGTCTGGATTCCAAGAATTCCTTTCTGTCTTACCTGTTGTCCTCCATTCAGATTTGAGAAAGTAGTTTATTTGTTTTGCTTACTTATTTGGTTTGGAATGCTTTTGTTGAAGGCTTTGTATACTTGTGGTGGCTATGATTATATTATTCTGTTTATAATATTCATAGAAATTTACATTCTAATTTGGAATTAAGGAATTGGGGTCTTGTAAACAGAGATAAGTGCTATTTCAGTGTTTAAAACAGGAGCTTATATTGTTTTTTTATAGAATGTTCTATATTCCTTCAAAGGATAAGCAGTTTTTACAGAAAGCTTGGATGACATGAGATCCATATAAGTGGTCTGTAATTCTTAAAGCACAAGAATTTTTATTTATTTATTAAATTTCTATAATCGCTTATCTCAATCATGACTCTTGGTGGCTTACAATTTTAAAAAACAATAAACACATTTTAAAACAATAAAAAATATATACATAGAAACCAAGATACTTGGCCAGTTAACAATATTGCCAGGAAACATGGCCCTTAGCATATTCAGCACTCCAAGCTCAGGAACTTAGCCAGGTTTTTAGGGCCTTATAAAAGGTTAATAAGGTTGGAGCCATTCTAATCTTGGATGAGAGGATATTTCCATACTGATGGTTAAGGAAGATGTCAGATGAAAACCATTTTAATACTCAATATTAATTCATTTCAGCATTATTGAATTCAACATTCAGATCTTCCATAATTTGTACATAATTATTTTCAGTGTTTATATAACAAGCAACTGGCTCATGTAATAGCCATGGGCATCAATAATCAGGACTCAGTGAGGAAACTGAGAAAATACGCATATGAAATATGGGATAGAAGTACATATAGTTGGTATTGTGGCATCACTGCAAAAATGTCATTTTTCTATGATTATGACTAGCTGGAGACAAAGCAAATATAAATCTGTTAATCCATTATTTTAAATCTGAAATAGTTTTTCAATTCTGAACAGCTATCCTGTTTGTTGCCTCCTCAGTGGCAATATTAGCAACTAATGAGTATCCAGGTTGTGTCAAAATCAGTTCCTACATCTGCATTTTAAGCTGTAAGTCATATATGGGACATATTGATTGTAGGTGTCTATGGAAATTCTCAATCATCGAGGTCACGGTTGTCCCAAAGGTGCTTTTCCAAAGGTAGGACCTAGGTGCTTAGATGAGAAATGAAATGTTTTCAAGGAAAAAAACAAAGTCCAGTTGCCTTTTGAAAAGCACTTTTGGGACTTTGATTGCAGATATAATCTCAGTTCTTCTGCTTACAAGAAACTTTCATTATATACCAGTCAACTCTACTTTCTATTGGGCCTTTTATCAAATTATTACTAGGTTTCATATAAATAACTTTTTTTCCCCAAAGCCTGAATTCAAAAACAAGTTTACTCATTTTTAGCACTTGTTGAATTGAAGCCATAGCTGACTGTGATTTCTACAGTTAGATACTTTAAGGAATCAACTTAAGACTCTTGAGCCCATAGCCTACTTTGATATAAAAGAAATTCAAAAGACATTATTTTCCTATGCAATTATGAGAACTTTGGGACAACATGCAGAAATGGATACTTTTATAAATCAAGGTCACCTTTTAAAAAATCTGCAATTACCCTAGTTGCATCTTAGCAAAATCATAATACAGTAAACAATTCTATCTATCAGTAAACAATTCTATCTATCTAAACAATTCTACATCTCAGAGAATGTTTAACAAGATTGTGGGCCACATCTTGCTGTTAGAGATGTAAGTTAAAAGTTGAACATGGCTTGGATTTGTCCAGCTATTACTGAATTTTGGACTAAAGCTATGAAAGCATTAATATGACTTCTAAATCATTGTTACTGATTAAGAACACCCAAGTATTGCTTGACTCCAGCAGTTAGAATATGTAGTGGACTAAAGGTGTACAGAAGCGACAAATGTACTGAGTAATGCAATACTAGAAGAAATAATTTACCCCTGACTTATATCAATAGAATGTATGTGGTCTGTCAACATTTGAATTGGGTTTGTGGTTCTTTTTTTTTAAACAATGAGCAATAAAGAATAATCAAGCAATCTGCTCACATTGTTTGGATTGTTTCCTTATGAGAGAATTTTTCAGTCTCTTATCCCCTCTCTTTTCTTTGTATGTATGTGTGGCTAGAGATAAAATTTTATTGTACATTATTTAGTAAACTTTTTATATATATTTTCTCGATGATTTTTTTTAATGTAAAGGTTCGAGATATTCTTCAGTTGATCAATCAACTAACAAATTTTAGTTTATTATTAGTTGCTCAATTTACAAAGCAAGTACTCTTCTAGTGATGAGATACTTGCACTGGAATCTGTATTTTTATTTTTGTAGGATTGCAATTCTGTGCACACATACACCAGAGTATTGCTCACTGAATATAGTGTAAACAACTGTAAACAACAAGCAGACTGAAACACTAACAGTGTGGTCTACTCTGAGAGTTCTAGGAAAGAGCATGAAAATAACTTTTGGAGAAAACAGTCCAATCCTTCAAATGTGGTGGCTCAACTACTTGTCTAAAACTGCAATTGTTTTTCAACATTTCTAGTTGGTGAGAAATAGTGCCTTCCAGTTTCTATGGCAGACAATTTCATTGTCTAGGTGACATACAAAGACAACTGAACTACCAGGCAATAAATTCAACAATATATTAATGTGAATGCTAAAATGTTTCAAAATACAAAGTTCATTTCTGGACTTAATATGTAAAATACTAGCATTAGAAGTAGATATTTCTGGTTAAGTTGAAATAACCCCTGTGGAAAATCTGATTTTCAACTATACTAATTTTGCTACTAAACTTCACATTATTGCCTTTATCGAATGTCAGCTTAGAGCAGGGCTGTCAAATTCGTGGCCCAGGGGCCAGATGCATCACAGGCTGGCCACACCCACGCCCAGTTTAGCAAAGGGGAAAAAGTCATGATATGTCATGTGACGATGCCATGATGACACAAGTTTGATATCCCTGGCTTAGAGCCTTTGATATATGTATGCACAACAAAAGATTAGTATTCATTAATTAAATTAGTCAATTTAGTCAAGTCAAATCAGTCAAAATCAAGCAACACTTGGAGGCTTACAATACTAAAATTATAAAACAATAAAAACATCCATAAATAAGTACAAAAAGCAGCAATGAAGATGAATAGTGAAGACAAGTAACAAGGTCCTTAATACATTCTAAGCTCCAGGCCCTTCTAAAAAGTTTTTAAAACTTTGCAAAAAACTGAAGGGTTGGGGCCATTCTACTTTCAGAGGGGAGAACAGTCCATAAGGCAAAGGCCTCATGGCAGGGGCAACAGCAGGCTAGCATAAAATATGGTTATTATTGTTTCTGATAAACCTACAGCAGCTGGACCAGGATTCTAAACCTTTCAAGCTGAAAACACATGGCCATTCTGATAAAATGACTGCCTCGGTACTTCATTTATTCTTCCAGATGTTTCTTTGCTAGATTGTTTTTTTAGCATTTAGACTTATATACCACTTCACAGTGCTTTACAGCCCTTTCGAAACAGTTTACAGAGTCAGCATATTGCCCCCTACAGTCTGGGTCATTTTACCAAGCTCTGAAGGATGGAAGGCTAAGTCAACCTTAGCTTGGTGAGATTCGAACTGCAGAATTGTAGGCAACCAGCAATCAGAAGTAGCCTGCAGTACTGCATTCTAACTACTGCGCCACCACGGCTCTTTTTCCTGGTCAGCAAGATATACAGTATTTTTAAAAAGCATTGGACCATAGACCTTTTTTTCAGAATGCCTTCAAAATTTAGTGTCATTGTAACTTTGAACAGTCACTAAATGAACTGTTGTAAGTCAAGGACTACCTGTAATTTAATAGATGATAGTGGTAAAACATGAATTGCTTATTGTAGGGTAGATTTAGTTTCAATGATAAAACTGATGCAATTATATATCCATTGCATGTCTTACCTAGGAATACCCACTCCATCCCCAAGGGATAAGAAAGACGCAGGACATGCAGTGTGATGATGTAGGCATGTTTTAATTACATACTTCCCGCCCAAAGCAGCCTAGTTGTGTGTACACCAAATATTTAAACATACTTTCTTCTTGGTACAAAAAAGTTTAGTTAAGCCATCTCATTCTGATTTAAATTTATAGGTTACCAGCTCCTCTGCCAGCTTGTAGTTATAATGCATTTTGTTTTGATTATACTGGGAGCAGTGACAAAAGAAGATTCAAGACTAGATCAAGAATCTTGCAAAAATTAGGGAATTTTATTTCTACAAATATGCTATTCCAAGATGTACGAAAGTCTGTATTCTAACATTTCAGTTAAGTTTAAAAGACAAAAAAGTAAGTTTGTGATGAACAAGAGTAATATCATAAATAATTTTAATATACTTTTGCATAAAATAGAGCAGAAAGTTTATGGGGTTGGAGACGGAACAAGGACTTTTTATTGGTGCTGCAGATCTAAGATTTTGTTTTTAATTGCAAAAAACTTTTTAACAGTGAGTATACGTTTAGGATGCAGGAAGTACTACTCTTACAGAAAATTGATATATGGAGGCTACCTAAGTAATTGTTAATAAACTCCAAAACCATTTATGATATGGCATAGATTTATATATAATATTCAATGGCAATTCTACTCTAAAAATTGAAACTTGAAGTTATTTAGTGATGATCTCTTCAAGGAAATTTAGTAGCAGGAAGATTGCTCAGATGCCTGACTATTCTCAACATCTTCACCCATAAATAGTTGTTTGGATACTTTAGAGAAGACAATGGCAGTAAAACAGATATAACCTCAAATACTTTTGCAAATAAAATAGTTCCTTAAAAAAATTAGCCTTTTTAAAACTTACCAATACATTTGACCATTTCTATTAGCAAGATCAAAATTCAACCTAAGATAGTTTTTAAGAACTATAACAACAGCATATAGACCATGAATAGTACAGCTGGCAAATATGTCTGATTTAATGTTATGTATTTATTGTATGAAAATTCTAAATGCATGGCCAATATTTCACAAGAAGCAGAATACTTCTTAGGAAAAATACTCACTTTTGGGTGAACCTTCTTCTTGATACATATTATAGCACACAATTTGTGTTTCTTCAAAATTTTATTTCAATTTAAATTAAGGGGCCAGCCAGATCTTCTAATAAGAAATGCATTCATTTGAAGAAATGCTTTCATGGAAGTAAATTTACAATTGTACACATTTAGGGGGGGAACCCCCAAAAAGTCACATTAAATAACTTTTAGTAATATCTTTAAGCCTTCACACAGATAAGAAACCATTTCCAGTACAATAGTTTTTAATATGAATAGCACATCAAATGGTCTTAAATACAACTTTTTTTTGAAAGCCAACACTCCAAGGATTAATGTTTTTTAAAGTATAGCCTTTTGTCCCATGCCAAATAATAGAGAAGCAAAATCAATATCCAGATCCATCTTTTAACTTTCATATATCTATTTTGATAGATGTGTGTGTATACACACACATACACACACATATAGATATAGATATAGATATATATACACACACAGAGAGATATACAACTTTTAGCATGTCTATATTTTTTTTCTAAAAGTGGAAGCCTTATGCATAATGGAGAATAACTTGCCGCCTAATATTTTGTTGTCTTAGCTATACTAAACCAAAATATAAAAAAGGACAGAGTACTGTACTGATCTATATTACCACCTCCATAGTTGTTTTTGCCTGTCTATATAAATGATTCAATAGAGCATTATGATTTTTTTCAGTAGATATTACAGATTATTTTGCAAAAGACAAATGGCTTATGACTGCTGAAAGAAACATAGGTATATATCCAACATTATCAGAATCCTATTTGCTGGACTTTATTCCAATTTCCATCATGAAGGCTTGAACAATTAACTAAAATGTCAATCAGCAAATTAATAATTTGTAAAATAATTTAATCATATAGATGCTAGAAAACAATAAATAATTGTATAGCATTTTCAGTCAGATTCAATCATGCGGAATTTGTACTATCATACTCCCAATTCAAAAAGTTGGCTGGTTGTGATCTCAGTCTACTATTATGAATAGATAAGATTTTGATAACATACTTTAGATATATCTAGCATTTTGTTATGATCACAGTAACAAAAAGTGGTGCAAAATCAGTCTTTAAAAAAATACTGATAGTTTGCAGCATTAAGGAACAGGATATTGACACTAGGACAGTTATGAAAATTATGGTTGTTGAAGGGAAAATATAAGTTAAATACAACACAACTATTATACTAATGATATGAAAAGAGAGGTTCTCTTTATACCCACATGAAAAACAAATCTGAATTTAGCATAATCTTTATAATTTACAATTGGCCAAACACAGCACTAATATAAATGGAGAAGGCCAACATTGAGGAATACAGTTTTAGTGGGTTCCAGAGCTATATTTTTAGTCTACTTTAACTGATGGTACTGCATTATACTTGCAAATACAGAAAAATGGATTCTTTTTAATGCTGCAGTATTTAAGAAATGTGAAATCAGTATTTTCATGTAATCGAAAGTATCATTTTACATGAGCTTTCATTTTGCAAAACTCAGCATCAGTATCAGGTAAAAGTTACAGACTAATACATTAACATTCCTCTGCTGTACAAATTAAATCATTTTTAAAGAAATGAGCAGCGTAGGAGTTATATACAGAAGAAAACAAGCATTGTTGAAATGAAACACAAAGTGTCACTGCTAAGCTCTATTGTCTGAAACACAATTTGAAGTAAAATTAACAAAAAATTCTTATAATGTATTTCTAAGTCTACATCTCATTTTTCCGGAAATCACTCTCAAAAACAAACTATAAAGCAATGAAAGGCATATATACATTTTCCTCATGAACTCTGAGATGTCATTCTTAGAAGTTGCTAAGTTTCAGTATCAATTTTATTTGCAAGACCACTGTTCATCCCAGAAAGCTCACATCTTAAGATACATTTCCCGTTTGATTACAATTAAAGCACTGCACATTTTTTTAAAAAAATCAAGGCATATAATCTTATACAATGGTGCCAAATATGCACAGATCACATTGTGCTCGCATCTCATACAAGGTTAAGTGCAAACATATGAATTGAATCAGATTTGCTAGCATGCACCCTGTCATAAACTAGTCTAATACCTTCTCTCCTATCTCAAACTATCTTATATGTTTGTTTCATGAACCAATAATCTTTCCCACCCCACCCACACCCTGGACTTCTAAAAACAAGCGGTGTGCTTGAATTCAGACACAAATACCAAGAAAGTCCACATTGTGCAAGAAAGCAGCAGCTAGGTTTGTCAACTCGGACTAAAAAAATAAAGAGAAGAAAAAACAAACAAACTGTTCACTGAACAGCGGATTAGCAGTAATGTTCCTCATGAAGTGATAAGAGTGCCTGATGCTGAATATCTAACAGCAAATGCTGAATTTGGATTTAATATTTTAGGGGTTTATAGAAGATTAGGCTTCTTGTTGTGCTGGTCTTTTCAAATCCCTGATCTGTTTAACTAAATAGGTCTTCTCATCGTTAAATTGTTCATCCTCGGTCCTGTCGTTCTGAAACTTGCTGAGAAACTCAATAAGTTTGGTCTGGTTCTTTAAGAGAATATCTAATATAGGTTGTGTCTTGTTAGGATTGGCTACAAACACCTGTAATACAATTTTTAGAAATATTAAAATCAGAATGTATTAGAAAATATGTATAAAAGAGTAAGATTTTCTCTATACAATGCATGAAATTTGCAAGGATTGAAGTACAATGTACAATATGTAATGCATGCATAAGAATTTGTCAGAATCACAATTACACAAAGTAGATCGTATTTTCATTTTTTTAAATGACCCTATAATCTCTTGCATTGGGGTGGGACAACTCAATGGAGCTGAACGTTTACTGACCCTACAGGGTGTTTGCAGCAGGTATTTTCTCTTTATGGCCAGAGAGTAAAATATCTGCCACTACTTAGGATCGAACTCACAGCTTCCTGATTGTGAGGCAAGAGCTCTACCTCTAAATCACCATGCTGCTCTTTAGGCAGTGTTTCCAATTATTTTTCCAAATTGGGAAGTAGGTCAAATATCCATAAAAAGCCTAGCAAAATTTAAAAAAAAACCATTTAAAAGTTCTATAAATAGGCTGAACTTAATTAAGAAATCAACATTTAATATTTATTTTTACAAGCAATAAATTTATTCATACCATAGTTTAGATCTGTGATGCTGAATTTTAAAAAAAAGAATTACAGGGATTTATTAATTGCTGTGATTCTGAAACTTATACAAAAAAATATCCCTGGCTCCTGAATCCCTTTCTCATTTATTCAAACCTTACTAGGCAACTTTGAATTATAATGTGATTGTAAATCAGCATTACCTTAAAGACATGGAAGGCCTCAAACTGAATGTTACGACTTTTGTCCCGTAAAAGATTCATCATTAGCTTGAGATTTTCAGGTTTACTGATGTATTTTGTCATAATTGTGAAGTTGTGTCTATCCAGTAACAATTCACCAAGTAGCTACAGTAATAAACAAACAGGTTTGTTTTTTCATAAGGACTATAAAGCACACAAGTAGCAATAGTTAACAGAGCCAATGGTTGTATTTCCCCTTACACAATTGTTATTTTTAGAAGATAAGTAGTGATATTAAGGCTAATTTACTATTATGGCCTATTTTCTGCCATATAAACTGTTAAAATTATCTGGATTCATTCCAAAAATCATAAAAAAATTAGGTCATCAAAGGCTTATGGACTATTAATTTTCAAATGGAAGCACAAAGAACACACATGGAAGCCTTCTTCCAGATTAGACCAGAGTTGCAAGAAGTGGGAGAAAATGGCAAAACAATCTTTTTACTACTGCTGCTCCAATTTTAAAAAATGAGTAGTGTTTATTGTAAAAAGGAGAAATTTATATTACATGCTTAAAGCTTTAGTTATTATTTGCTGGCAAAGCATACTTGTAGAATTGGCATTAACAACATTATATATATATAAATATATATATATATATATATATATATAATGTTTTCTGAGGTTTTCATGGGTATTTGTATGTGGATCTTTGGTTATTCGGGTTTTCTCCTGCGTAAAATTGGAAGTATCTTGGCAACGTTTCGACGAAGCTGAAGACACAAGCCTGAAGATGACGAATGAGATATCTGTATCTGTATCTATATCTATATCATCTATCTATCTATCTATCTATCTATCTATCTATCTATCTATCTATCTATCTATCTATCTATCTATGGTATTCAGCTTTGTTCAGGTATTTTCCCACGTCATTATAGTTG